TATCCACTTAAATTAGGTTCACATATTTAGCAGTATCACCTATCATATGACGTGAACAACTTTTGTCCAGATACCACTTGTTCCTTCTCATAATCACTTACAATAAAGAAAATCTTCATCATTTCTTTGGTACCCATACAAACTCGTGTCCTTTTCTGTCAGGCTTAGAAGCTGTATTGAATCTCCAATGGATCTTCTTGGCTTGGCCTGCTCAGTTGGAAATTCATGCTTGCAATGTCCATGTTCATTAGAGGTAGATCTAGTAAACTACTTAACATAATGATTGTTATAAAGATAAATGGAATGTTTCCATTTCAATCTCTCCTTCAACTTAAAAAAATAATCCATTTCTTCTTCATCATCCTCACGACCCAAACCCAATTTGTTGCAATGAGGATACTGAATAGAAAGAATGTGCTTAAGTATTTTTGAGTCAAGAGAGAATTTCGTCTTGATTTTGGAAATTTTTTCTTTTAAGAGAAGCACTCTCAGTTTGAGAAAGTTCAAGCTCGTGTATGCACAACAGAACAAAGTTAACCAAGTTTTAAATTTTATCATTCATCTGGTGCCAGCAATGATGGTATTGACTGCTTTATCTTCTTAGTATCTTATGTTTTGCATGTTGTTTCCTTGGCAATAAGTCAACAAATTTATCTATTTCCACGGAGTGCATGAATTGCTTGCTCTCTGTTCAGATGTTTATATGTGTAACAATGTCTTTCATTGGAGTTGATTGAGTTGTCTGAACATTTTTGCTTACAATCTGAGTTTGTTTCATGAATAAGTCTCATGTATTGGTGTACAAAAGAAGGAAAGATATTTTGGAGTTTGACAGGCAACACGTTGTGCGACTCCTATATATGCACCTACTATGGTTATGCTATCTTTCTCGTTGGATGTATACTGAGTGTTCATAATACGCTAGTTCCAAGGCTATCGATGCTTAATGATGGTGTTGATAATTTAATTAGTTGTCATATATCCTGTGAAGGCAAGCAAAATAGATGCGTACACATTATTGAGGTTGTCCCATATTAGTTGTGGAAGGGGCTGGTGGTCAATTTATAAGTATGAGGGAAAGCCATACCATTTGAGCTAGCTTTTAGGATGAGAGAGACTTAAGAGCACCCAACACTGGTATCAGAGCCTAGTTTGCCACCAAGTCTGGACCCAACAATCACACGGGAGAGATACGGGTTGTTGCGGCTCCGACCCAAGGCCGATGTGTGAGGGGGAGATTGTTGAGGTTGATCTATATTGGTTGTGGAAGGGGTTGGTGATCGGTTTATAAGTGTGAGAGAAAGTCTCATCATTTGAGCCAGCTTTTGGGATAAGAGAGACCCAAGATCACCCAACACTGGTATTAGAGCCTAAGTTACCAACAAGTTTGGACCCAACAGTCACACGGGTGTGATACGGGTTGTCGCGGCTTTGACTCAGGGTCTGATGTGTGAAAGGGAGATTGTCGAGATTATTCCACATCGGTTGTGGAAGAGGCCGGTAGTCAGTTTATAAGTGTGAGGGAAAACCTCACCCTTTGAGTTAGCTTTTGGGGTGACAGAGGCCCAAGACCACTCAACACACATGCACGTGATGCAGATACTATTTGCATGAAAGATCAAATAGAACAAAGCCTTGCTTCATTTTCAATAATAATTTTGCTTGAACAAGAAGTTTTACTTGTGATTTGCTTGAACAATGCACCACACACTAACTTTATATCACCACTGCTAACATAGCTAGATTGTTGGATTTTTCGGTTGATTTATATCGGTTGATTTAAATACACAGATGATGTCAATGCTTTTTAAATTCTTCCTAGAGAAAAAAGAAAAGGGCTAGTCTTTCAGTTTCTCAAACTTCTAAGCCTACTAAGCTTTGGCGCTTCTGCATTTTTGCAGACATTGGTGAATTTCGCTTCTGGGGTTTGCTTGGTTGGAATTCCTCTTCTTTATGCTATTGCAATCTTGACCCTGATGCATTGTGGGAAGATGGTATGGAGAAGATCAACAGAGAACTCAGCTGGGACAAGTAGTTCCTAGTCATGCGGCAACCGATGTGGAAGTGTCCTAAGATTTTCTTCTTTCTGAAGTCAGTGCTGCAGCTTCCTTTGAAAGTTTCTATTATTTGGGAGGTGCAACGTTCATAACCTAGGTTCGACTTGATTCTAGTTGTCTTTCCTTTCAAATTTACTTCTTTTGACTCCTCTAACTGGTCAGATTAGACTAGTTTTAGGAGCCGTATCAACAAGAGCGATCATTACTCTCAAGTTTCTTTCATCCTGGCAATTTGTTCCAAAATTTGTGCTGGAAAAGTGTTGGGACGGTTAAATGGAGATTGATTCACCATACCCTGTGAGACAAAAAAAAAAAATCCGATCCGGATTGAGTTTCTGTTTTGATTTCTATACGGGTTGGTTCTCGAGTCGAGTCACAATAAACATACATCCTTCATGTTTGAGACGGGGTCGGGTGAACACGACCAGATCCGAACTGTGCGTACCCCTTGGAGACCATGCGAGTGCTAGATTTGAAGTTTGAGTGTACTTGCCGTCCATAGATCATTAACTAAGGGCTGTTTGGCAAGTTGCCAAATAGTGATAATTTCTGTTCTTTTGTTCCCAGAATCAGTTTTGGAACAGAAATCCGTTTGATAAATTGTTTGTTTGTGAGCACAAATTTGCAAGAATTTGTTCTTAGAATCAGTTTTGGAACAGAATCAAGAAGCAAAAAAAAGCAGCTTCTTAATTCTGGGAGCAATTTTTCCATTTATGATTCTTCTTGGTTTGTTCTTCTTCCTTTTTGGTTCGTTCTTCTTCTTCTTCTTGGCTGGCCGTCGGCCACCAACGACCGGCCACAGGCTAGGGCTGGACCCTCGTCGCTTGGGCGAGGGCAGCTCGCTGTCGCGACGGCGAGGTCTCGCTTAACCATGGCGAGGCCGACCTCGCTGTCGTGACCCAGGCGAGGGAGATGGCTAGGCGAGGCCGACCTTGTCGTCGCAACCTAGGTGAGGGAGATGGGTCACGGCGGCGAGGGTCCATCCCTCGCTAGCCCTGGCCATGGGCCAAGAAGGGGAAGAAGAAGGAAAAAAAAAGAAAAAAAAAAGAAGAAATATTATTAATAAAAAGAAATTTTGGGTAGTTACCAAACGCAATTCTGTTCTTTTTCTATTGCAAGAATATAAATTTTGGGCACTTATCAAACGCCTTCAAATGCTTAGAAATTGTTCTCGGGTACGAAATAAAAAAAAATTATTTCTGAGTAGAATCAGTTCCCGGGCACATAATGATTGCCAAATGCACCTTAAGGACCCAAGTCCATTGGACCGTCTCCATCACGGCCATCCATTTCATTAGATGCACGAATTGATGATAGTGGTGGACTCAGTTTAGTTGACCTGATTCTAATAGTTTTTCTTGCAGCGAGTCTTCATGTCATTAGCTTGGGGCTTCATTTTTGGAGGATGACAATTTATCTAAACATTCATTTATTTCGCGAAAAATATTTTCCTTATTTTTGGGCATTTGGTTCGTTTAGGCAAATGAATCAACGGAAAATATTTTCCTAGTCAATGGAAAATATATGCTTAAATTTAAGAAAATAATTACTTCTTTGAAAAATTGGAAAACGTCATCCAAAATATGATTAGGCAACTGCATTTGGACTCAAAAGTTTACGCTTGGATACGGGAATCCCAACACTGATTCTAGGATCCTTGGCATTCAAGACCACGTCTTCAACGGTCGAACCCGAATCCATCAAGGCCGGGCCTAGGCCCTCCTCGCCCACACCCGGGTCCATCAAGTCTAGGCCTAAAACCTTGGTGCCTATGCCCAATGCCTTTTCACTTGAGCTCCGTCCATAAATGCAATGCTCGGGTCCCTAACGCTCGTCGCGGGCTATAGCGACCTAGCATTGGGTGAGCTTGTCCCTCACCTGTGGACGGTCGTTGACCAAGGAAGAAAGAGAAAAGGGAAAAAAAGAAAAGAAAAGAAATCAATAATTAAAATTAATTAAAAATTTCGAAAATTTTAGTAATTTTCCTTAGGAAATTACCAAAATATTTTCTAGTTTATTTTCAGGTTTTAGCCAGACACCGGAAAATATTGTCATTTTTCTGAAAATGACTTCTCAGGAAACATTTTTTATAAATGTCACATTTTCCGCGAAACAAACCGAGTCTAGGTGGATCGTTCATTTCATCTTTTCTTTGTCTCGGAGAAATCCATTTGCAAAGACTCAGTATCTTGTCATTGCACTTTGTGCAGAAATAAGAGGTCGGTATATTAATGAATCTAAGAAGGGCACTTTCTCTGCATGAACTGCATTGGCAACTAGTGATTACCATCGCTATATTCTTCAATGGCACTTAATTCCCCTCCTACAATCTGCCACCCTGAAGCTCCCAAAACAGGATTTTCACTATAAAACCCCGAGCACCAGCAAGACTTTACATAATTAACCTACATAACCCGCCTGATCTGCAAACCCATCACAGGATCCGGACGAGGACTAGGATCAGGAAAAAGAAAAGGAGAACCAAGACAAAGAACAATAAGACATACCCAATAGATTAAACCAGGACACATGGTTAACTAACGAATTGGAATGGGTGTTGGTTATGTCTTAAGGACCATTTTCAGTCATTTTTGTTCTGGTTTGTTAGCTGGTTGTTTTTTGGTTTTACTTAGTCAACAAGATAGTAGGAGTTTGTTGTTTTCAGCTCCTATTTTGTTGCTAGTTAGTGGTGTAGTGGTTTTTGTCAGTTACTAAGTTAGTGCAATTCAGTTTTCGTTTTTTTAAAAGAGCTATGTACTCTTCTCGTTTTCGAGAATGTAAAAAAGTGCATTTCCAGATCAATCTTCTCTTGTTCTTCTACATTTGAGAGCACATTCTCTGTAACAACAGAGAGCACATTCTGTGCAACAAAACTGGTATCAGAGCATTATTGATCTTAAGGGACTTGTGAGAGAGTGCTAAATTCGAAGTAGAGCAAGAAAGATGGAACAAACTGGTGTACCTTCTGCCTCATTCTCAACCATCACAGCTCCAATCTTCGATGGAGACAACTACCAGGCATGGGCAGTGAAGATGCAAGCTTTCATGGAGGGTGCAGACCTATGGGAAGCTGTGGAAGAGGACTACGAGGTTGCTGATCTACCCAACAACCCAACTATCAATCAAATCAGGTACCATAAAGAGAAGGTAACCCGAAAAGCAAAGGCAAAATCTTGCTTATTTTCTGCTGTCTCCTCGACCATATTTACTAGAATCATGAAAAAAGATTCAGCACATGATATATGGAATTATATAAAGGAAGAATATGAAGGGGATGAGAGAGTGAAAGGAATGAAGGTGCTGAACTTGTTAAGGGAGTTTGAAAGGCAGCAGATGAAGGAGAATGAGTCTGTGAAAGAGTTTGTTGATAGGCTAGTTGATATAGCCAATAAGATAAGGGTGCTAGGGACGGATGTAGATGATAAAAAGCTGGTTCAGAAGGTTTTGGTTGCAGTGCTTGAAAGAGTTGAAGCAACCATTGCTTCCCTTGAGAACACTAAGGACATTTCAGACATCAAACTTGCTGAAGTCCTAAGTGCTCTATAGGCTCAGGAGCAAAGAAGGCTTATGAGGAAAAAGGAGCCTATCGAAAGTGCTCTGCAAGCCAAGCTGAAGCTGCATAGTGCAGAAAAGGGAAGAGGATGGAACCAAAATAGAAGACATGTTGAGGCCAATCATAGTCATAGTCAGGGAGGTTCAAGCAGTGGTGGATATGACATGAAGTGGAATGCAGTTCCATGCAAGCATTGCGGGAAGAAAAATCATCCTCATTTCAAGTGTTGGAAGAGACCAGATGTGAAGTGCAGGAGGTGTCACAAGAAGGGCCATGTTGAGGCCATTTGCAGGGAGAAGCATCAGCAACAGCAAGCTGAAGGTCAAACTGCAGTAGCCAGTGAAGTGGAGCACCTGTTTGTTGCCTCCTGCTTCATCTCAAATGCATCTAGAGATGGATGGCTCGTGGACAGTGGATGCACCAACCATATGACAGCTAATGAAGGATTATTTAGCAATTTAGACAAATCTGTGAAGTCTAAAGTCAGGATTGGCAATGGAGAACGCATAGAAGTAGAAGGCAAAGGTGACGTAGTGCTTGAAGGTCCTGGTGGTGTTAAGCTTATCACAGAGGTTATGTTTGTGCCAAAGATAGATCAAAACCTGCTGAGTGTGGGTCAGTTAGTAGAGAAGGGGTTGAAGGTCGTGTTTGAGAAGAGTGAGTGTGCCATAGGAGATGAGAATGGTTACATCCTTTTCAGGATTCCTATGAGGAACAAGTGTTTTACATTTGATCCAGTTGATGAGAATTTTGAAGCCATGAAAAGTATACAAGATGAGGAGGAGTTATGGCATAGAAGACTGGGTCATTTCCATAGCAAGGGGCTGCAATACTTGCAGCAAAATGAAATGGCAGTGGGGCTACCTATGTTGCAGAAGGAAGTAACTGGCTGTAGAGCATGTTTACAAGGCAAGCAAGTGAGGATTCCTTTCAAGAGGTCAAATTGGAGGGCCAGTGAAAAGTTGCAACTAATCCACACAGATGTGTGTGGTCCAATGTCAGAAGAATCACTGAACGGCAGCAAATACCTCATCACTTTCATAGATGACTGCACTAGAATGTGTTGGGTGTACTTCATGAAGAATAAGGCTGAAGTTAATGAGATTTTTTTGAGGTTCAAAAGAGAAGTAGAGAAGGAGAGTGGCTGTAATATCAAGACAATTAGGTCAGACAATGGAGGAGAACACACCTCAGGCAGTTTCAGGGCTATATGTGATGATGCAGGGATCAAGCACCAGCTCATCAGGCCATACACTCCACAAGAAAATGGAGTGAGTGAAAGGAAGAACAGAAGTATCATGGAGATGGCCGGATGCATGCTACACGAGAAAGAACTCCCTAAGAAGTTCTGGGCTGAGGCTGCCAACACTGCAGTCTTCCTTCTTAACAGACTGCCCACTAAAGCTCTCAACAAACAGACACCATTTGAAGCATGGCATGGATATAAGCCTAAGGTGAGTAACCTGAAAGTGTTTAGCTGCATTTGCTATTCACTGGTTCCTTCTGTTAAGAGAGATAAGCTTGATCCAAGAGGAAAAGCATGTATCTTTGTGGGGTATAGTTTGCAATCTAAGGCTTATAGAGTTTATCATCCTGCTAGCAACCAGGTTGTGGTGTGTAGAGATGTGAGTTTTATGGAAGATGAGAAGTGGGACTAGTCTGTGGAAGGTGGCAAGGCTGAAGAGGAGGTAGTGCCATTGCAGGTTGAACCAAATGAAGTGGAAGTCGAGGATCTAATTGATCATGATCCTGCGAGAGGCACTAGATCTCTTGCTGAAATCTATGAGAGATGCAATACAGCTATGCTTGAACCAGCTAGCTATAAGGAAGCAAGTGAAGATGTGAAATGGTGTGCTGCAATGGAAGAAGAAATCAGAATGATTGAAAAAAACCAGACATGGGATCTAGTTGAGAGGCCCAGAAGCAGAAAGGTGATTGGAATGAAGTGGGTATTCAGGACAAAGTTGAATCCTGATGGCTCAATACATAAGTACAAAGCAAGACTTGTTGTCAAAGGCTATGCGCAAGTATGGGGGGTAGACTACTCTGAAACCTTTGCTCCAGTGGCAAGGTTGGATACTATAAGAATGCTGCTAGTAGTTGCTGCACAAAAGGGCTGGCAAGTATTTCAGCTGGATGTGAAGTCAGCCTTCTTGAATGGAGAGCTAGTGGAGGAGATATATGTTGAGCAGCCTGATGGCTTTGTAGTTAGAGGCAAGGAAGATTATGTGTACAAGTTGAGGAAAACCTTGTATGGCTTGAAGCAGGCTCCAAGAGCCTGGTATAGTAAAATTGATAAGCATCTGCAAGAACTTGGGTTTAAAAAAAGTTTGAGTGAAGTGACTCTATATGTGAAGAAGGGTGTGGAAGGTGTAACTATTGTCTCTCTTTATGTTGATGATCTTTTGGTTACTGGTGATTGTGAAGAGCAGATTGCAGAACTAAAGAGAGGGCTGATGAAGCAATTTGAAATGACTGATCTTGGACTAATGTCCTTCTTTTTGGGAATGGAGGTGCAGCAGAGGAAAGACGAGGTATTCATCTGTCAAAGAAGATATCTAAGAGAGATCTTAAAGAGGTTTGAGATGGAGGAATGTAGAAGTGTGAACACTCCTATGAATCTAAAGGAGAAGCTGCAGAAGACTGAAGGAGCTGAGCCTGCTGATGAAGGTTTTTACAGAAGTTTAGTCGGTTGCTTGATGTATCTAACTGCAACAAGACCAGATATCCTGTATGCAGTAGGTGTGCTTTCAAGATTCCTAAGTTGTGCCGGTGAAGAACACTTGGTAGCTACAAAAAGAGTGATTAGATACTTGAAAGGCACTCAGTCATTTGGTGTCAAGTTTACTAAAGTGGACAATTGCAGGTTGCAAGGCTTTGCTGACAGTGATTGGGCTGGTTCAGTCGAGGATATGAGGAGTACAAGTGGTTTTTGTTTTACTTTGGGATCTGGATGTTTCACCGGAGCTCAAAGAAACAAGAAGTGGTTGCTCACCCATCTGCAGAAGCGAGTTTCTAGCAGCTATTGCAGCACCAATCATGCAATATGGCTGAGAAAGCTGATGCAGGATCTGGAAATGGAAGTTGAAGGACCAACCGAGATACTTGTGGACAACCAAGCTGCACTAGCCATATCTCAAAACCCTGTCTTTCACAGGAGAACCAAGCATTTCAAGATCAAGTTCTACTATCTGAGGGAAGTGCAACAAGAAGGTGAAGTGAAGCTACTCTATTGCAAGACAGAAGATCAGGTGGCTGATGTGTTTACTAAGCCACTGCAAGCAACCAGACTTGAGTTACTGAAGAAGAAGGCTGGAATGTGTTCTGCTCCTTAAGCCAAAGAGGAGTATGTTGGTTATGTCTTAAGGACCATTTTCGGTCATTTTTGTTCTGGTCTGTTAGCTGGTTGTTTTTTGGTTTTACTTAGTCAACAAGATAGTAGGAGTTTGTCGTTTTCAGTTCCTATTTTGTTGCTAGTTAGTGGTGTAGTGGTTTTTGTTAGTTACTAAGTTAGTGCAATTCAGTTTTCGTTTTTTTCAAAGAGCTATGTACTCTTCTCGTTTTCGAGAATGTAAAACAGTGCATTTCCATATCAATCTTCTCTTGTTCTTCTACATTTGAGAGCACATTCTCTGTAACAACAGAGAGCACATTCTGTGCAACAATGGGAACTCCATTCCACCTCGCCGAGGCACTCAAACATGGGATCGATGGTCTTGCGCTCACACATTGCCCGGAAGACCTTGTCGAACTCCTCCCCGATGAGACTACCCTTTCCCCAGTGAGCAAACTCGTCCTTAGCTCCTCTCTCACGAACTTGTAGAGAGGGTACGACCGGCACTCCTTGATCTTGCTAGGAATCACGTTCCCGCTCTCGAACGCGAGCGGGTGCTCTCATCCTCTTTTGGCAACACAGCCTTCAGCTCGGCCTCGAACACTCTGATCTTGTGGAAAATTGAGGTGCTCGAGTTCTTCTCACTCTCTCCGTTCGACAATGCGTGTTCCGCCAGGACCTGTCTGAGCTTCTCCATCAGTGGGTGTTGACACCTAAATTTTTTGCCCAAAAATCATTTTCAAAAAAATTGGAGCTTGTTTTTCCACAAAAATATTTTGGAATTATTCTATAAAAAAAAAAAAAAAACCGGAAGAGCAAGGGCCAAGGATTCGAGTGTAGCTAACCGAGACCTGAGAGATCAAATTGCAAATGAACCAGCAAGTTGGGGCCAAAATACAATTTCCAAAAGTTGGGGGACCAAATCGCAAAATTTGTAAAATTTGCCCCCAAGCCCTTAAATCATCATTTTTACCCCTAATCAAGCTTGAAATTGAAAACGGGCAAGGTAAAATTGATCAGATCAAAGAGGAGTATGTTGGTTATGTCTTAAGGACCATTTTCGGTCATTTTTGTTCTGGTCTGTTAGCTGGTTGTTTTTTGGTTTTACTTAGTCAACAAGATAGTAGGAGTTTGTCGTTTTCAGTTCCTATTTTGTTGCTAGTTAGTGGTGTAGTGGTTTTTGTTAGTTACTAAGTTAGTGCAATTCAGTTTTCGTTTTTTTCAAAGAGCTATGTACTCTTCTCGTTTTCGAGAATGTAAAACAGTGCATTTCCATATCAATCTTCTCTTGTTCTTCTACATTTGAGAGCACATTCTCTGTAACAACAGAGAGCACATTCTGTGCAACAATGGGAACTCCATTCCACCTGCTGAGGCACTCAAACATGGGATCGATGGTCTTGCGCTCACACATTGCCTGGAAGACCTTGTCGAACTCCTCCCCCGATGAGACTACCCTTTCCCCAGTGAGCAAACTCGTCCTTAGCTCCTCTCTCACGAACTTGTAGAGAGGGTACGACCGGCACTCCTTGATCTTGCTAGGAATCACGTTCCCGCTCTCGAACGCGAGCGGGTGCTCTCATCCTCTTTTGGCAACACAGCCTTCAGCTCGGCCTCGAACACTCTGATCTTGTGGAAAATTGAGGTGCTCGAGTTCTT